GTGTGTGTGTGTGTGTGTGTGTGTGTGTGTGTGTGTGTGTGTGTGTGTAAAACGGTATGTTGTTCATAGGTACTGTTATTATTAATGTATTATTATATCCATCTATTGTGTTATTACATTATGTTATGTTATGTTATGTTCTATTCTATACATATAGATAAATACAAGCATATTCTCATATATCTACTACCTAACTTTGCAATGGCCCTTTGAGCAAGATACCATAGTTGTGAGCCTCATCTTACAGAGGAGAATTAGAGTTTCCTCTAACTCCGAATCTAAAATCCAATGGTTCTGTCTCAGTCTGTGGGACCAAACCCCTCAGCGCCTTGATTCAATTCAGTAAACATATATTAAGCACTTATTGCATGCCAGGCACTGTGCTCAGTACTGGGGATACAAAAAGAGCAAAAGGCAGGCCCTGCCCTGGAGGAGCTGACCATCATTCTAAAACTTTCCAGGTAGGTGTTGATGGTGCTGGTTGTTCAGTCTTTTCTACCTCTCCATGGCCCCACTCGGGGTTTTCTCAGGAGAGATCCTGGAGGGGTTGGCCATTTCCTTCTCCAGTTCATTTTACAGATAAGGAAACCGAGGCAAACAGGGTGAAGTGACTTACCTAAGGTCACACAGCTGGGAAGTGTCTGAGGCCAGGTTTAAGCTCAGGTGTTCTTGACTTCAGGGGCCAGCGTCCTATCCACTGCACCACCCAGCTGCCCAAGGAGATGGTGGAGGGAGTTTCTCTACTAGCCCTTTCCCCCACATTGATGAAGGTACTCACAGGACCAAAGGTATCATTTGGGCTGAAGAAAGGGAATAACAGTATTTTTCTGAATCGTGGTTTTGTTGGTAGAAGGAACTCCCAGATAAGGACATGCCCTCTGCTAGTGCAGGTGGGCACCGCCTCTGTGCTCTGTAGTCTTGGTGACTTGTCCAGGGCCCGCAGCCGGCGTGCGGAGGCGACAGGTCTTCTTAAATCCTGGCTCTGTCCTCTCTTCCCCAGTCCATGCTGTCTCTTTATTATCATTGCTCCGATTTCTTTGGACTTTGAGAGAGAGACTTTCAATGAGTCGGTCGATTGCCAGGCATTTATTAAACCCTCTACCTGCTGGGGCCTGGGTAGACAAAGCAAAAGGGAAACAGTTTTTGAGGAGATTGCTTCCTTTCTGCGCCTCAGTTTCTTCCTCTGCAAGGTGAGGTCATTGGATGGTGATCTTTTTCCTGGTGAGGTCACCTTGTGATGCCTCTGGGGGGTGGTTTCTTCTGTTTGCTGATAACTAGTCGAGGTCTCTGGGCACAGACTGCCCTCTGACAGCTTCAGACACAGTCCTTGTCCATGGCTGTCTCTTTAGGTGACTACCTTTGGCCCAGATACTTCTGGGGTCGGGGGCATCTTAGCCTGCAATCAGATGTTTCCCAGATTGGGAGGTGATCCATTATCTTTCTAAATTTGGCCGCCTGCTCTCCGCTTTTGAGCCTGCTGGTTTCGGAGCTGTTGTGGAAAAACTGAGACCAGGATTTGGAATCAGAGGACCTGGGTTCAAATCCTGCCTCTTACACTGACTACGTATGTGATTTTGGGTGAATGACTTCGCCTTTCTAGCAGCCTCTTCATCTGTAAAATAATCTAGATGGGCTCTGAGGCCCCTTCCAGCTTGACTTCTTGGGGCCTGTAACCCACAGGACCCTAGACAACCCCTTTAACCGTTCTGGGCCTCAGTTTCCTCATCTGTAAAATGGGTGCATGGACTAAAGGCTCTCTGAGGCCCCTGCCAGCTGTCAGCCTGGTTCTTTACATTTCTAAGGTTCTTTCAAGTGGTGTTTGTTTCCAAAGCACTTTCCTCATAATAGCTCAATGAGGTAATGTCAGCATGAGGATTCTCTCCATTTTACAGATGAGGAAACTGAGGTGCAGAGAAATTAAGTGACTTGGGATCTTAGGTTTAGAGCAGGAAGGGACTCAGAGGTGGTCCAGTCCAGCCTCCTTCTCTGATTGACGAGGAAGCCAGACGGAGGCCCCAGGATGTTGTGAATTACCCACGGTCACGTAGGTGGTGACAAGAAGTGGGATTTGCAATCATGTCCAGCCTGTGCTTTGAATGAGTCATTTCCTCTCTCTGGGCCTTGTCGGCCAAGTGGGGAGCTGAGCTTGGTTCTCTCCAAAGCCCTCTCTAAGTTACTCTCCCTGCCTGGGCTTCAGTTTCCTTACATGTAAAGTGGGTGGTGGGTGGCTGGGTTGGACCAGTGATGGTACACGCTAACATTTATATAATGACTTAAGATCAGCAAAGCCCATTGTGTATGTTACCAACCCTGGGGGGGTGAGTGCTTTTAGTATCCCCATTTTACAGATGCGCAAGTTGAGGCCAAGGTGAAGCCACCTCCCTGGGGTCATACAACTAGTAGGTTTCTGAGGCAGGACTTGGAGTCCAGAAGGCCTGAGTTCAAATCCAGAACTCCATCCATGATGCCTCCCAGAGGCCCCTCCCTCCCCTAGGAGGCTCTGGGTAACCAAGCACTTCTGGCTTCCCATAATGCAGTTCCTCATCACTCCTTCCCCATCAAAACTGTCAGGAGCCCGTTGTTCCGGTTTTAAATTCTCTTTAAGTGTCTACTTTTCCAGATTAAATCTTTCCTGCTTAACACCAATTTGCATGTGGGGGTGAAGTCCCCAGAGAGCAGCTGCAATGGGGGGGTCACCTCACCATTAGTGAAGTTTTCTTGTAGACCAAAATAGGAGGGAGATTTTTGCCCATGCCTCCATCTCAGCCCAGATGCAGGCAGGGTGCCTGAGATCTGAATGGAGGCCCCTGTGTGTGTGTGCCAGCTGGAGAACGGGCTGCAGGCTGGGCTGCATTTGGCCTAAAGCACTTCTGTTCTCTCCCAGTCTTCTCCATTCAGACTGAGCTGAGCCCATCCCTCTTTCAGGCCTCCCAGTGCCCTGGGAGTGAGACCACTGGGCAGTGCCAGGCTGGAAATTTGGCCCTTCCATTCCTCTTTGGAGGGCGGGGGCAGGGGACCCCCTGCAGCTTGCCTTGGTAAAACAGCTTTATTGCCTTAATAAATCTAGGGAGAGGAGTGAAAGGATGGGCCAGAGCCACCCCCCCTCACCGAAGCATTGGCTGTCCTCCCCCCAGAACGGTGTGGGGGCTGATGGAGCCTCCCATTAATGTGCCTTGGCTGAGGGCCTCAGCCAGATGAGAATGCATTCAGCCTCATCCAGGCGTGAAGCTTTAATTTACAATTAAAATATTATGGGCACATACTTTAATAAAGATGATTCATGGGGCCAGACTGAATCACACTCCCAGTGATGGAGAAGCAGCCAGGAATCTGACGGGGGTGGGGCAGGGATCTGAGTGGCAGACGAGCTCTGATGGGGCCTTTTCTGCAGAAGGCGGGTTCTCATCTGTGATCCGGGGTCCAAAAGGACCAGCTTGAGCTTTTCTGCTTGGCTCAGGGGGCTGGGGGCTGCTTCGAGAGGTTGTTTCATTTACGGTGGGACTCAGTTGGTTCTGCAGGACAATTGCCTTTCTTTAGTTATTTTTTTTCCTAGGGCTTTAGTTATTATTACCATTACCTGTGATTTCCTTGGCAAGGAGCCTTCTTCTGCTATGATGATGATAATAGCTGACATTTATAAAGCACCTACTATGCACCAGGCACTGTGCTAAGAGTTTTATGATTATTATGTCATTTGATTCTCACAATAACTCTGAGAGGTAGGTGCTATTATTATCCCCATTTTACAGATGAGGAAACTGAGGCAGGCAGAGGCTAAATGTCTTGCCCAAGGTCACACAGCTAGGAAGTGTCTGTGGCTGGATTTGAGTCAGGTTTTCTTGACTTTAGGCCACTGGGCCACCTGGCTGCCCCAAACAGTGCTGATCTACAAAGATGGTGATAACATCCTGGGGAGGTATGGGTGGGAGAGGGAAATGAAGAAGCTGGCTTTGCCTTAAATACTATGAACTCATCAATAATGAATTTCTGAGTGTCACCATTAATACATTAGTTACTTTGGGGATAAAGTG